CGGATTCTAGCGTTGTAAGTCCGCAGACATACCGCTGTGCCACTGGGGGGCATCTTGAAGAAAAACAATTTATACTTATCTTTTCTTCAAATGTAATGTGTTTATCGTCACTTCAATATTCCTCAAGGTTATATGACACAGTTTAGAAAACAAGTTGTTAACCACCTGATATGGATGAACTTCAATGAAGTACAAAGTTTATTGAATAAACCACAGATCTGAAGGAAAAGATCCTGAATCCAAAGTTCACTATTCATAAAGCTGCCATACCAGATTCTAAGTTTCTAGTTAAGTTTAAATTTGACGTATTCCAAAAGCTATTCCTGCCTGAATTTCTTAAGGTTCTTAACACACAGAACGATGTATCTCATATTCGCAATACTTCTATGGAGTTCAAAAAAATTTTTTTTTCAGAATTGTTTTTAAAAGTTAAAATTTAACCTATATTGTAGCCTTATTTCTTATGTATAATGAGCTATTATAAACCATTTCACTGGCAAAGAAACACTTAAAACATTTTTATTAATACTTCTAAACAATAAGTTCTAAGTTAGGCTTACTGTTAGATCGAAGGAGGTTGTGGAACTTCACAAAGATTATTGCCAACACTTAAGTCTATAATATACAGTTCACAAGTTGCTACTACCAACCATTACCTACAACTGGCAAGTTGGTGAAATCCAGTTTCACAGGATTATTCAGTCATGTACTTAAAAGTAGATGTTCTCAAGTGTTGCTTTAGTACAGTAAAATATCAACTGTTTTATTGACTTGTTTAAATATTTAGTCAGACATGACCTTTGACCTTATAAGTTGTATTAGGAGTTGTCCAAGAAAGAAGAAGATCTGTCTTAATGTATTCCGAGGCCTAAAAACCAAATGTTCCATTCACTATACGGTACAGAAGTTTTAATCAACTTGAATATTGTCCTTTGCAACAAAACTTATTTCACGATACAGACATTTCATTAAGATGTATTGTTTGCAAGCTTGGCTTTTTTTTAATCTCTACAAAGGAAAAGATTTTTAAAATTGTTTGGGGAAAAAAAAGCCAAGGAAAATCTTCTAATATGTTTTTAGCTATTTTTTATCGAAAAGACAAAAAAAAACTAGTTAATTTCTAAAAGCACACCATTCAAAGAATTTAAAAAATAAACAATGGAAAACTGAAATTACCACAAGTTTATAAATATAAATCTGTAATATTTACATATTTTAAAAATTCAGCAATTACACCATTCCAAAGCTAATTAAATCTGTATTTCTCTGTTTGTTCTGTAACTGTTTCTTCCTATGTTTCATTCTTGTTTTATTTTATTTAAACATTTTCATTTGTTTAACACAAATTTTCTTACTGTTTATCATATTTTGTTTGATTCTATAATTTCTCAGAAAAAAGAAACACGACATAAGCAGACAAAGTAAAAACAACCAATAAGTTAAACTTACATTTGAATAAAATATTATATATATATTAATATTCGCACCATGTAAATAAAACACAAAACTTTACTACAGGGCTTAAACCAGTCAACCTGAACATTGCCTTACAAACTTTAGTGAAACACCAAGTTTAAGTCAACAAAAAAGTTAGAGCAGAAAATACACAATCCCAAGTTTATGGTCAAAAGAGCTGCGTGTTTTAACATTTTTCTCAACAGAGCCCAGAGGTTCAGGCATAGCCATCTCTAGATTTGAGCACTAACCAGAGGAAGGTCAAGTTGGCAGCACCTACTATCTGCATGGTTATTCTTCACCAAACAGCAGGATTGACTGTCATGGTTTTAACACCACCACAGCTACATATGTGAAATATGTTCAGCAGCATATTGTGACTCAAATGCTTGCACTTCCCCATTCAAAGAATTTTCATAGATGTGATTTAACTGTTTATAACCTCTAACTCCGTAAAAACCAAATGCCCTATTAAACTTAGAAATAGTACTGTATTTGTCTGAATATAATACACATTTATTTTCCTCCAAATACTTCCTAAAAAATGAATGTACATTATATTCACACACATTCAATTTTGTTAGGTATTTTACTAGAAGCTACCACCAGAAATGTTGCATCTCCAATGCCATGGATGGGGCAGATGACAATGGATGGGACTGATGAAGACAATGGATGGGACAGATGATGACAATGGATGGGACAGATGACGACAATGGATGGGACTGATGACGACAATGGATGGGACTGATGACGACAATGGATGGGGCAGATGACAATGGATATGACAGATGATGACAATGGATGGGACTGATGATGACAATGGATGGGACAGATGACGACAATGGATGGGACTGATGAGGACAATGGATGGGACTGATGACGACAATGGATGGGACTGATGACGACAATGGATGGGACTGATGACGGCAATGGATGGGACAGATGACGGCAATGGATGGGACTGA